GGCCCCAGTGCTGCCGCCCGCATGCGTCCGGCACGCTCACTTCGGCACACCCCTCACACGTTTCGTGGCCCCATAGGAAACTCCACCGAAGGCCCCAGTGCTGCCGCCCGCATGCGTCCCGCACACCCACTTCGGCACACCCCTCACACGTTTCGTGGAAGGCTCCAGTGCTGCCGCCCGCACGCGTCCCGCACGCCCATTTCGGCACACCCCTCACACGTTTCGTGGCTTCTTAGGGAGATCCACCGAAGGCCCCAGTGCTGCCGCCCGCATGCGTCCGGCACACAGATTTCGGCACACCCCTCACACGTTTCGTGGCCCCATAGGGAGCTCCACCGAAGGCTCCAGTGCTGCCGCCTGCATGCGTCCCGCGCGCCCATTTCGGCACACCCCTCGCACGTTTCGTGGCTTCTTAGGGAGCTCCACCGAAGGCCCCAGCGCTGCCGCCCGCATGCATCCCGCACACCCAATTCGGCACACCCCTCACACGTTTCGTGGCCTCTTAGGGAGCTCCACCGGAGGCCCCAGTGCTGCCGTTCGCATGCGTCCCGCACACCCACTTCGGCACACCCCTCACACGCTTCGTGGTCCCATATGGAGCTCCACCGAAGGCCCCAGTGCTGCCATGCGCATGCGTCCCGCGCACCCACTTCGGCACACCCCTCACACGTTTCGTGGCCCCATAGGGAGCTCCACCGACGGCCCCAGTGCTGCCGCCCGCATGCGTCCCGCACGCCCATCTCGGCACAGCCTTCACACGTTTCGTGGCTTCTTAGGGAGATCCACCGAAGGCCCCAGTGCTGCCGCCCGCATGCGTCCCGCACACCCAATTCGGCACACCCCATCACACGTTTCGTGGCCCAATAGCTCCACCGAAGGCTCCAGCGCTGCCGCCCGCATGCGTCCCGCACACCCAATTTGGCACACCCCTCACACGCTTCGTGGCCCCATTGGGAGCTCCACCGAAGGCCCCAGTGGCGGCGCTCACATGCGCATGCGTCCCGCGCACCCACTTCGGCACACCCCTCACACGTTTCGTGGCCTCTTAGGGAGCTCCACCGGAGGCCCCAGTGGCGGCGCTCACATGCGTCCCGCACACCCAATTCGGCACACCCCTCACACGTTTCGTGGCCCCATAGGGAGTTCCACCGAAAGCCCCAGTGCTGCCGCCCGCATGCGTCCCGCACACCCAATTCGGCACACCCCTCACACTTTTCGTGGCCCCATAGGGAGCATCACCGAAGCTTCGGCACACCCCTGAAACGTTTCGTGGCCTCTTAGGGGGCTCCACCGGAGGCACCAGTGGCGGCGCTCACATGCGTCACCCACACCCACCCAATTCGGCACACCCCTCACACGCTTCGTGGCCTCTTTAGGGAGCTCCACCGAAGGCCTCAGTGGCCGCGCTTAATGCGTCCCGCCACCCATCCCGGCACGCCCCTCACAGGCTTCGTGGCCCCATAGGGGGCTCCACCGAAGGCCCCAGTGGCACCGCCCGCATGCGTTTCCCGCACCCAAGTCGGTACACCCCTCACACGTTTCGTGGCCCCATAGGGAGCTGCACTGAAGGCCCCAGTGGCGGCGCTCACATGCGTCCCCGCCACACATCCCAGTACAGCCCTCACACGTTTCGTGGCCCCATAGGGGGCTCCACCGAAGGCCCCAGTAGCGGCACTTACATGCGTCTCCGCCACCCATCCCGCCCCCCCCCCGCATGTTATGGGGCCCCATAGGGAGCTCCACTGGAGGCCCCAGTGGCGGCCCTCACATGCGTTTCCGCCACCCATGTCGGCACGCCCCGCACGTGTTTCATGTCCCCATAGGGAGCTTCACCGAAAGCCCCAGTGGCACCCATCTCGGCACACCCCTCACACGTTCCGTGGTCCTATGGGGAGTTCCACTGAAGATGAAACCCACAGCTGCGGTACTGACAACTGCATATGGTTGGGTTCTTCGCCAGGCTAATTTTTCTGTTCCCGGGTCCGATGATGGCCCCGGAGGCCAAAATCGAAAGAAAACATCAGGATGAATAAATCAGGTCAAGCTGCTTGCTGCAAGTTCCGCCACCGTGCCAGCCCAGCATTCAGGGTGGCGACTGTTTGAGGAGGCACAGGAGGCCGTCACAGGTGACACCTCGGGTCCCCAGGCTTGTGAGAGAAGTGATGAGGTGGGGGATGCTGCTGATGATGATTGTGTTGCCGATGATGATGATGATGATGATGATGATGATGATGATGATGATGATGACGATGATGATGATGACGATGATGATGATGATGATGATGATGATGATGATGGTGATGGTGATGGTGATGGTGATGGTGGTGATGATGATGATGCGGCTGATGATTATGAGGATGATGTTGACTATGAGGATGATGATGCTGAGCAATGATGATGACGACGCTGCTGTTGCTGTTGATGATGCTGATGATGATGCTGTCGACGTTCACGACGGCGACGACGACGATGATGATGATAATGATGATGATGGTGATCATGATGGAGACGACGATTATGCTGCTGCTGATGGTGCTGCTGATGATGCTGCTGATGAGGATGATGACGACGATGACGATGATGATGATGATAATGATGATGATGATGATGATGATGATGATGATGATGTTGTTGTTGTTGGTGAGTGTGGTATTGATGATGGCGATGCTGATGATGTTGGTGACGATGATGCTGATGGGGATGATGATGATGATGATGATGATGCTGCGTATGATGATGATGCTGCTGATGATGATGACGATGCTGCTGCCGCTGATAGTGATGATACTGATGATGTTGCTGCTGCTGATGATGATGGTGTTGGTGGTGGTGATGACGATGATGTTCATGATTATGATTATGATTATGATTATGATTATGATTACGATTATGATTATGATTATGATTATGATGATGGTGCTGATGATGCTGATGATGCTGATGATGATGCTGCTGATGATGATGATGATGATGATGATGATGATGATGGTGATGGTGATGGTGATGGTGATGGTGAGGACGATGAGGAGGAGGAGGAGGAGGAGGAGGAGGAAGAAGAGGACGAGGAGGAGGAGGAACAGAAAAAGGATGATGATGAGGAGGAGGAGGAGCAGGAGGATAATGAGGAGCAGGAGGGGGATGAAGAGGAAGGCCGTCTGCACTTCTTAGGGAACCCTCACGGGACTCATTCCGACCGTCTTGGGGCCGTCTTGGCCTCCTGTGCTCGGGGATCCCTTTGGGGCTGTCTCGGGGCCCCCCTTGGGCCGTCGTGGGAACCTCTTGGGTGTCTTGGGGCTCTGTTGGGCCGTCGTGGGGTCCTCTTGGCCGCATGGGTGTGTCTGGGGGCCGTCTTCGCGCTGTTTTGGGCCGTCGAAGGGCCTTCCGAGACCGTCTTGGGTCCCTCCGGGAGCCCTCTTGGGCCGTCTCGGGTGCGTCTTGAGCCATCGTGGAGTCCTCTTGGGCCGTTTTGGGACCCTCTTGGGGGCTTCGTGGCTCTTGGGCCGTCTTGGGGCCATCTTGGAGGCTTCTTGGAGGCGTCTTGGGGCCCTCTTGGGCCGCTCTTAGAGCGTTACTGGGCGCTCTTGGGGCTATCTTGGGGCCTTCTTAGGCCCCTCTTGGGGCTCTCTTGGGCTGTCTTGGGCCGTCTTGAGTCCTCAAGAGCACATCGGGAGCGAAACAGCGAGAAGGCAACACACATAAGTGTACCTTAGGTGTTGAAGCCATTTTAGCTCCTTGGGGTGTCATTGGAGGACTCGGGGGGGACTTGAAATCGTCTTGGAGCCGTATTGGAGCCTCTTGCATGCGTGTCAGAGGATATTTTGAGCCATCTATGGCTATCTTGGGCCATTTTGGACGCCATCTTGGGTTCTAAACCCTAAACCCGAAATTCTGGGCCAGACGCATCCCTCGATGAGGATCGCTGGTCGAATTTTGAGGATCGAGGGTCGAACTTCGAGGATCGAGGATTTCGATTATTTTTCCACCTTTGAAGAGGCTTCCTGGGAACTGCTCGTGGCCACGGCTGGATTCCCCTTCGAAATTCTGGCCCAGACGGACCCCAGGATGTGTCCAGAGGTTGATTTTTGGCTGTTCTTCCAGATCCCGAAGGGTTTTCTTAATCTACCTAAGGGTTCCTGGTATTTCTAAATGGATTCTTAGGATCCCGATGGACTCCAAAGACCCCCGAAGCCTTCCGAAGGATCCCTGGAGGGCCCCCAAGGATTCCTTGGAGAGCGCACGCCGATACACGATAACCGATTCCGCAGGATTTTTCAGAACTCCTGCGGAATATGCATGATTCCTAAATGATTCCCCAAGGATGAATCGATGAACCGATGGACCTAACGGGAGCGTTGGGGAGCGCTCCTGCGCTCGCAGCTTGTGCATCGGTTGATCGGTTTATCGACCCATGAACCAATAAACCGATAACATAATATCGGTTTTACGGTTGATCGGTCGGTGAACCGATCAACCGATTCGTTTTTGTCGGTTTATCGGTCCATCGGTTGGACAGATTTCCCGCGACTGATGCCGCTACACTCTGTTTGTATATATATATATATATATATATATATACATACACATATATATCTATACATATATATATGCACTGTGTATGCCTCGCCATCCACATGTCAGCATACATACACAATCATCGATTTTGCAGCACATATTTCAACTCTGGTACCCGAAGCAGAAGCAGAGACAGCGGCAGATGCAGAGAAGGAGGGAGGGGGCAGGGTCGGGGATGGGGGGGGTGCTTGGGGCCTTCTTGGAAGACCGTCTCTGAATTTTCGATGGCCTTCTGGAATCTCTGTCAGAGGTCCAGGAGGTTCTTCTGAGGCCTGCGGGCGCCACGATAGTGGAGGCACTCCGAGGATGACAGTGAAGATCTTGATGACGGCAGTGGCGATGAAATCGATGAAGACTCTGGAGACCTGGATGACGGCAGTGAGTGATGGGGGTGCAGGGTCGGGGACGGTTTCGCTGCGCTCCTCTAGGAGATACGGCCCTCGTCCGAGGACGAGGCGGGCCAGCCGCTCCGCCGTTCTCCTCCCCTTCTCGCCAGCCGCGTCGGCATTCGACGGTTGCTTGTCCTTTTCTTCACCTCAGGGCAACGTTATGGCTGCACCGACCCTCAATCGCTCACTCGATGAGGGCCCGATGGCCCTTTCCCGCCCAGGGGCGTACAGTGTCGATGTCGGGGGCCTACCGCCGATCCATCGGCCATGTATCGTCAATTCCAGCTCGATGTTCCCCTTCCCCCCCGAGCCGGCCCCCCGATCGTAGCCCCTCAGAAGTGCTTGCGCACTTCCTACTTTTAGATCGGGTGTATGAAGACCTCTCGCTGCCCCAGGCATCTCCCAGAATTCTCCCAGACTTCTCCCCCAGAGTCTCCGGCAGCAGTGGTGGGGGCCCCTCGGATCTCCGGCAGCGGAAATCTCTGGCGAAATTTCCAACGAAATCTCCAGACAACCCCCCCGAGGTTAGGAATCCCGGCCAATCTCCGACGAAATCTCTGGGAAGCCCCCTTCAGGTAGAAATCTCCGGCGAAATCTCCGGGACATTCCGCCCGCGCGAGAATGTCCACAAACGGAGTCTACTTGTAATCCTTTACAGAAGGAGTCCTGTTGTAATCCTCCACAAACGGAATCCGATTGTAATCCTCTATCAACAAAACCCCATTGTAATCATCCACGAGAGGAATCCTGTTGTAAAATCCACAGGGAATCCGATTGAAATCCTCTACACAAGGAATCCTAATGTCAGCCTCCACAAACGGAATCCGATTGAAATCCGCCACAAAGGAAATCTATTGTAATCCCCCACAACAGGAATCCTAGTGTAACCCTTCACAAAAAAATCTTAGCGTAGTACCCCACAAAAAGGAATCTTATTTTCATCCAACATACAAGAACCCCTATGGTCTTCCACGAAGGGAATCCTGTTGAAATCCGCCGCGCAAGGAATCATACTGTAGTCCTCCACAGAAAGAATCATATTGCCATCGTCCATAAAAAGGAATCCTATTGCAACCTGCCACAAGAAGAATATTCATGCACGCCTCCACAACTGGAGTCATATTGTTGTCCTCCACAAGGACCCCGCAGAAAGAATCCGTGTCAAACCCGATGATACGGATTAGGATGTATCTGAATTGTGTAGGACGTCTTGGGTCTTGGAATTGGCGAGAACAGGTGAGCATAGGGTATATCAGACCAGGGTCGAATATTTGAAGATTGCATTTAATGCGTTACGATTATGATTGTCAGGGCCCGCACAATGGATTCAGCTGATGATTCTGATTGCCCGGGCCACACACTAGGTTTCGCAACGCCAGTTCTAAGCACATTTTGGCGTTGGTAGTTCGTTTATTCTAGGCTCTACACATATTCGTGCCACGGTTCGCGGTAGTCTTTGTAATTACCCTGTGACGTACCCAACCCATTTGTATCAATGGAAACGAGGAGTTGGCCGAAACTTGCAGGGGCAATCAACTTGATGTGTAAGCTACTTGGGACACGCGCCTATGGCATGATGCGCAGGAGAACCATACAAGAACGAGGGGCGACAGCTACAGGCTCGAAGAGGACATGGGGAGCCGGGAACGCAGAGCATGAGAAAAACGTGCGGGAAGCCGATCCATCAGCACGGCAGCAGCAGAGGGAAGGTGATTGCAGGAGAAGAACAAGGACGAAAGCGGTGTCTAATTTGAGTCTGCGGCGGGTACCCATTGTGTTGTGCCCCCCAGCAGCCCTCGAAAGTGGCGACAGTTTCACAGATCGCAGCCCCCCCAGGGATGGCGAGGTTTAATTTGAGTCTGCGGTGGGTACCCACTGTGCTGGGCCCCTCAGCAGCCTTCGAAAGTGGCGACAGTTTCACAGATCGCAGCCCCCCAGGGATGGCGATGTCTAATTTGAGTCTGCGGTGGGTGCCCGCTGTGCTGGGCCCCTCAGCAGCCTTCGAAAGTGGCGACAGTTTCACAGATCGCAGCCCCCCAGGGGTGGCGAGGTCTAATTTGAGTCTGCGGTGGGTACCCACTGTGCTGGGCCCCTCAGCAGCCCTCGACAGTGGAGACAGTTTCACATATCGCATCCCCCCAGGGATGGCGAGGTCAAAGGCAGGGGGGGAGAGAGGGACGGGAAGGAAGGAAGGAAGGTTCGCGCGAGCAGTGCTCTATTCAAAGCAGGAGGGTTGGGAAATTACCTTGTGACGTACCCAACCCATTTGTATCAATGGACACGAGGAGTTGGCCGAAACTTGCATGGGCAATCAACTTGATGTGTGCGCTACTTGGGACACGCGCCCATGGCATGATGCGCAGGAGAGCCATGCAAGAACGAGGGGCGACAGCTACAGGCTCGAAGAGGACATGGGGAGTCGGGAACGCAGAGCATGAGAAAAACGTGCGGGAAGCCGAGCCATCAGCACGGCAGCAACAGAGGGAAGGTGACTGCAGGGGGAGAACAAGGGCGAAAGCGGCGTCTAATTTGAGTCTGCGGTGGGTACCCACTGTGCTGTGCCCCCCAGCAGCCCTCGAAAGTTGCGACACTTGCACAGATCGCAGCCCCCCCCCCAGGGACGGCGAGGTTTAATTTGAATCTGCGGTGGGTACCCACTGTGCGGGGCCCTTTTCAGCAGCCCCCGAAAGTGGCGACAGTTTCACAGATCGCAGCCCCCCAGGGATGGCGAGATCTAATGTGGGTCTGCGGTGGGTACCCACTGTGCTGGCCCCCCCAGCAGCCTTCGAACGTGGCGACAGTTTCACAGATCGCAGCCCCCCAGGGATGGCGAGGTCTAATTTGAGTCTGCGGTGGGTACCCAGTGTGCTGGGCCCCTCAGCAGCCCTCGAAAGTGGCGACAGTTTCACAGATCGCGCCCCCCCCCCAGGGGTGGCGAGGTCTAGTGTGAACATGCGGTGGGTACCCACTGTGCTGGGCCCCTCAGCAGCCATCGAAAGCGGCGACAGTTTCACAGATCGCAGCCCCCCAGGGATGGCGAGGTCTAATGTGAGTCTGCGGTGGGTGCCCGTTGTGTTGGGCCCTTTCAGCAGCCATCGAAAGTGGCGACAGTTTCACAGATCGCATCCCCCCAGGCACGGCGAGGTTTAATTTGAGTCTGCGGTGGGTGCCCGCTGTGTTGGGCCCCTCAGCAGCCTTCGAAAGTGGCGACGTTTTCGCAGGTCGCGCCCCCCCCCCCCCCCCCCCCCCCCCTCTATGGATTGCGATGTCTAATTTGAGTCCGCGGTGGGTGCCCACTGTGCTGGGCCCCTCAGCAGCCCTCGAACGTGGCGATAGTTTCACAGACCGCGCCCCCCAGGGATGGCGAGGTCTAGTCTGAGTCTGCGGTGGGTACCCACTGTGCTGGGCCCCCCAGCAGCCCTCGAAAGCGGCGGCAGTTTCACAGGCCGCAGCCCCCTAGGGATGGCGAGGTTTAGTTTGAATCTGCGGTGGGTACCCGCTGTGCTGCGCTCCTCAGCAGCCCTCGAAAGTGGCGACAGTTTCACAGATGCAGCCCCCCATGGATGGCGAGGTCTAATTTGAGTTTGCGGTGGGTACCCACTGTGCTGTGCCCCTCAGCAGCCATCGAACTTGGCGACAGTTTCACAGATCGCAGCCCCCCAGGGACGGCGAGATCTAATGTGAGTCTGCGGTGGGTACCCACTGTGCTGGGCCCCTCAGCAGCCATCGAACGTTGCGACAGTTTCACAGATCGCAGCCCCCAGGGATTGCGAGGTCTAGTCTGGATCTGCGGTGGGTACCCACTGTGTTGGGCCCCTCAGCAGCCCTCGAAAGTGGCGGCAATTGCACAGATCGCAGCCCCTCAGGGGTGGCGAGGTCTAATTTGAGTCTGCGGTGGGTATGCTGGGCCCTTTCAGCAGCCCTCGAAAGTGGCGACAGTTTCACAGATCGCAGCCCCCCCCCCCGCCCAGGGATGGCGAGGTCTACTTTGAGTCTGCGGTGGGTACCCACTGTGCTGGGCACCTCGGCAGCCCTCGAATGTGGCGACAGTTTCACAGATCGCATCCCCCCATGGATGGCGAGGTCTAATTTGGGTCTGCGGTGGGTACCCAATGTGCTGGGCCCCATCAGCAGCCCTCGAACGTGGCGACACTTGCACAGATCGCGCCCCCCCCCCCCAGGGGTGGCGAGGTCTAGTGTGAACATGCGGTGGGTACCCACTGTGCTGGGCCCCTCAGCAGCCATCGAAAGCGGCGACGGTTTCACAGATCGCAGCCCCCCAGGGACGGCGAGGTCTAATGTGAGTCTGCGGTGGGTGCCCGTTGTGTTGGGCCCTTTCAGCAGCCATCGAAAGTGGCGACAGTTTCGCAGATCGCATCCCCCCAGGGATGGCGAGGTTTAATTTGAGTTTGCGGTGGGTACCCATTGTGCTGGGCCCCATCAGCAGCCTTCGAAAGTGGCGACAGCTTCACATATCGCAGCCCCCCCCCCCCCCCCCAGGGATGGCGAGGTCTAATTTGAGTCTGCGGTGGGTACCCACTGTGCTGGGCCCCATCAGCAGCGCTCGAAAGTGGCGACAGTTTCACAGATCGCAGCCCCCCAGGGGTGGCGAGGTCTAATTTGAGTTTGCGGTGGGTACCCACTGTGCTGGGCCCCTCAGCAGCCATCGAAAGTGGCGACAGTTGCACAGATCGCAGCCCCCCCAGGGATGGCGAGGTTTAGTCTGAGTCTGCGGTGGGTACCCACTGTGCTGGGCCCCTTCCTGCAGCAGCCCCCGAAAGTGGCGATGGTTGCACAGATCGCAGCCCCCCAGGGATGGCGATGTCTAATTTGAGTCTGCGGTGGATACCCGCTGTGCTGGGCCCCTCAGCAGCCTTCGAAAGTGGCGGCAGTTTCACAGATCGCAGCCCCCCAGGGGCGAGGTGTAGTTTGAGTCTGCGGTGGGTACCCACTGTGTGTAGTGGCGGTTCGCAGCTCCCCAGGGATGGCGAGGTCTAAGTCTGCGGTGGGTACCCACTGTGCTGGGCCCCTCAGCAGCCCCCGAAAGTGGCGGCAGTTTCACAGAT